ATCGTGTTTCTCTCTTAGGGTTAGCAGAAAAAACCTCTCTCTCCTGCAAGATTATTGCTCTAAGGTAAGATTCCGACTTGTTCTCCAAATTAGGGTTATTGATTAGTTCCATTTTTTTTGCTTGTGCTTCATCGATTTACATGAATACCCATAAATCTCATCTTGTAGATAAGACATGACGCATATGGATTTGGAGAGAGAGGAATGCTCTGATTTCCTGAAGAAGGCGTATGAAATGGTGGATGATCCTTCAACGGATTCAATAGTATCTTGGTCTCCCAACGGCATGGCTTTCATTGTTTGGCTTCCGGAGGAATGTATGAGAGACATTCTTCCCAAATACTTGCAAGTCACAACCTTCAGCAGATTTGAGTATTATGTGAGTTTCTTGATCTTCTTGGTCTCCTTTCTTTCTTGGTGATGCTGCTGCTTATGTTGTTGTACGAATTGACTTAGGGGTTTCGTAGACTCGTGGCTGGAAAAGAAGAATGGGTATTTGATTGCGATGGTTTTGTGAGGGGCAAGCCTGAGCTTTTGGACAAGATTTGTGAACGCCATCTGGCACGGTTGCAAGCATCCCTTGATAAGGAGTATAAGCCATTAGAAGATCGACTCAAAAATTGCAAGACCAAAGAAGAGGTTGAATTAGCCCGCAAAGAACATAGGGAGAGGCTTAATAATGAGAGAATGGAGCAGCTGGAGGCATTTAAAATGTCAATGGCTGCAGCACAGAAAAAGGCAGCAGCACTAGCACTTGAGGATCAACGTGTACAAATTTGATACGAATTTGAGTATTCGTATTTATCTATCTCCATCAATAATGTAGTCCTGTGTATGGATTTCTATCTATCTTCTTTCTCTACTGCTGTGTTTATGAATTAATACTCTTTGGATACTTTTTCCATGTGGTCTATTCTCTACGGTTGTGTTTATGGATTCTGTCACTATCTACTCTTGTACTCCTGTGTATGTGTGGTTGTGTTTATGGATTCTGTTTCTATCTACTCTTTGTACTGTTGTGGTTTCTATCTACTCTTGTATGAGCTTTTGGAAGCAAACTTTGCGACCAAGATCATGAAAGTTTACACTTCTTTGTGTATTAATCGAAACCTAAAACATTGGCTTCAGAATTTTTCCATCATACAGTATATTGTGCAAGACAGACCTGAATACATCCCTAAAATCTCCCAATTTTGTTAGACTCCTCAAACCTCACGCACCTCACCAAAGATATGTACAGAGGAGACAATGCAACATGCACGTCTATGTAACACCAATCAATTCTGTAACGGTAAAGGGAAATCAGCTCACTCACCTCAACAGATATGAAGTGGCGAGTCAGATCAAATGGTCGAGATACGTCACCATATACACATGCTACTACACACTGAGAAGGAAGAATATCGAGGGACCAGAAACTCACTTGGATACTGCTGCTCTTTCAGCGATGAGGAAACAGACAATGAAGAGGCAAAAAAGCGTTTAATCGCAGTAGCTTCAAGGCTTGCTTCACTTGTGCAAGCGCAGATGGGTGCATCCTACTAATGGCAGAATTAAAGGCAGCCCCCTCAAGTGTAGAACATGTCTGAAGGTTCTCACGCACTGAGTTCTCCAGTGACATCTGGTAAATTGTGTCGGAAACTTTGATCTTATAAGACCAGACCC